TTAAAAGTAAGTTAGTGTACAATATATATATATGTATATGAGATTTTAATTTGCAGTACGCTGGATGTTATATAATTGGTTGCACTTATTTTATGTTCTATGGTTGCAATGGACATTTTAATATTGAAGTACATATATGAGAGTAATAGCACATGATGAGAAAGTTCACACTATGATTGTTTTTACACTTTAGGTAAGACTGTTATATAATATGAGATAATAGTCTATATCGTTTTCACATCATTTCACGTGCTTGAAGGGGTTGGAGGTATATATGAGTAGCGCTGTTCATTTTCTTTGATTTATTATTGGATGGTTACTGTCTTGCACTCGCTCCCCATACTCCCGGAGTCTATGAGAGGCTGTTCAAGCAGATAACCTTCTCTGCGCACAAAATAATAGTCGGTTTTAATCCGTCTGTACTTTATTGGCACGTAGCAGATAAATGGTAAAACTAGAACAAGAAAGATAATATGCAATCACTATACGATAAACATCACAGATAAAATAACACTCAGTATAGCTAAGATCCTCTTCTATACAATCCTTGCTACCCATAGCAGAGAAAAAAGTGACATTAATTACCTTCGATGCTGTTAGATGGAAAGAGATAGAGTGTCAGGGCTCCCAGGTATGACCAGAGGTGTGTGACTGATGCAGGGAAACGCAGACTTCAGATATGTGATAAACAATATAATTTATTAACACTAACCATACAAACATAAACACAGTGCAATACTAAACATAATACAGTGCAAACAAACCCAACCAACCACCCACAGATAACAGTACATACAATGCAAGCGTCGTCAGGCAGGCCGGGTCAATATCAATAGGGCAGGTAGGTACAGGGGGAGCAAGCAGAGAATGGTCGGGGTCACAGGCCAGGTTCAGCAGGTAGCAAGCAGCGTAGTACAGAGGGTCAGGCAGAGTGATGGTCAGGGTCACAAGCCAGGGATCAGAGCAGGAGAAGTCAGCAGCAGTTCAGATCAGGCAGGGTCAGCAAAGGGACAGAAACAGGATGCAGGACAGATACAGGGCCCAGGACAAACACAACACCAAGGCAGAGTCTGTGGGTCTGGCCATCCCTTAAATACCCCAGCATCATCAGTTCCAGGTGTTAGCTGGCTGAAAGGTTGAGTCTCTGATTGCTGGGAGCACCCGCTGGCCAGCCCTGGTACTGCAGATCAAAAGGCAGGTGAGTCCCACCATTGCTGGCCAGTCCATTCGTGACATAGAGTTTGGTTGCTTCTCTCATGTGGAGAATCATGGTTTCCTATGAGGTGGTTTACTTCCTGTAGTTCACTTCCTGTATTGTGGAAGAAGTGATGACCTTTACATCACATCCTGGCTTAGCTGTTATGCCAGTAGGTGGCATAACAGAACAGATAACTAATCTGTAAATAAAACATGACTACAATCAAATGCAAAACAACATATATTTATTATACCTTGATATATCAAGATATATATCTTGATCTTAAAGTCCTCAGAAGGGAATGTATTCTGGGGACAGGACACTCCCCGTCTGGCGTTATCCAACGCCACTGACATTGTCGTTGGTCACCAGTAATATCAGGTCTGATATTGGTCTGAGGAACAGTCTAACTTCACCCTGATTGGAAGTCTTAACTTCGACCTTCCTAGCTTGTCCATCTTTGCTTAGGAATGTCTGGGTGATAAGTCCCAAAGGCCAGTCATTCCTGTGTGTTTGGCAGTCTTTAACAAGTACCACATTGCCTTGTTTCAAGTCAGGTTTGGCAACTTGCCACTTTTTTCTGGGTTGTAGAATTTGAAGATACTGTTTCTTCCACCTGTCCCAGAAGGTGTTAGCTAAGCATTGCACCCCTCTCTATTGGCGCTTGAAGAGATATTTTGTTGTAAACTCTCCATGTGGTACACTGACCATGCCAGTTTTCTGAGTAAGTAGAGTAGCAGACGTCAACAGCATTGGATCCTCCGGATCGGTTGAAACTGGAACCAACGGTCTTGCATTTATAACGGCTGAGACTTCAGCCATAAAGGTTGTCAAGCACTCATGAGAAATTCTGGCATTTCCCATTTGTAAGAAAATAGAGTCCAGAATCTTGCGGGCTATGCCTATCATCCTTTTCCAAACACCGCCCATGTGGGAAGAATGAGGAGGGTTGAATGTCCAGGCACATTCTTGTTCATTGAGATATCTTTCCACGCTGTTTTTGTCAAGATTGAAAAGGATCTGAAGTTCTTTGACTGCTCCAATGAAATTACTGCCTCTGTCGGAGTGGATGTGTTTAACAGGACCTCTGATGGCAATAAAACGTCTGAGAGCGTTGATAAAGCTGGAAGTGTCCATCAATTCAATCAACTCTATGTGAACAGCTCGAATGGTCAAACAAGTAAATATAGCATTTGCTGCTGGCGTGACCTCCTCTGGTTTGCCGAGTAGTAACAGGCCAAGGACCAAACACATCAAGGCCCACATTTGTAAAGGGAAGATCAATAGTAAGTCTGTCAGATGGAAGGTCAGCCATCTTTTGGGTTTGTACAAGTCCACGAAGCTTGCGGCAGGTGACACAATTAAAGATACACCTGTTCACACGTCTTTTTGGTCCTACAGCAGCTCTCAAAGCTCCTTCCTAGGTGTTTTACTTGACTGTGGTAGTGCTGTAAAAGCAGAGCAGTGACATGATGGTGAGCTGGCAGAATCAGAGGATGTTTCTCATTGTACTCTAAACTTGTTCTCTTGAGGCGACCTCCTATCCTTAACAGGCCATTGCTGTCAAGAAATGGATCGAGTTGCCTTAGGACATTATCTTTAGAGGTTGGCTTTTTGCTGATAATACAGTCAATTTTCTTAACAAAGGTCTCTTGTTGCACAGTACGGATGATCAGATGTTTTGATTGTTATAGATTGGCCACTGTGTAAGCACTTTTACAGTGGTGCCAGCCTTTGCAGTCCGTTGCTATACTTGCTACACTTGCTATATGTGATAAGCAAGTGATGGCTCTTGTGGACGGACCTCTGCACCCTCGTTTGCATCTATCAAGCAGAAGGCGTCAGCATCAGAAGTGCTGTGTTCTGAATTGAACAGAAATGCAGGGCCTGTGTACCACATTGTGTCCTTTAGATGGTTGGCTAGAACGGCTCTGGTTGCTAAGTCTGCAGGATTGTGGTTGGTTGATACAATGTGCCACTGTTTTGGATGTGTGTGTGGATCTCCTAATCTTCAACACCCTGTTACTGACATAGACATAGAAGCGTCTGGTTTCGTTGTAGATGTACCCCAGGACTACTTTACTATCTGTGTAGAACTCAGTGTCTTTGATTTCTAGGCCCATCTCTCCAGTTATCATGTCAGTTAGCTCTACGGCTAACACTGCAGCACAGCCTAGGTATTGTGTGTTCTGGGAGTGGGGCAAGTTTTGCTTTTCCCATAACAAAACCTATATGGTAATGTCCTGTGATGTCCTTAGTCTTTAGGTAAGCTACCGCGGCAATTGCGTTGACGGAAGCATCACAAAAAACACAAAGTCTTTGGCTTTGGACCTCTGTACTCGGCACAGGAGCATATGAGCGAGGAACTTGGAAGCCAACAATGGGGGGGTAAAGACTGCTGCTGGGTGAGGAGGACACATATGTTGTTCTACCCAATAATCAAATGAAGAAAGTGCTAACACAGCTTAAAAAACAAATGAATAAATGGAAGAAGTGGAGTATATTAAATAAAAGAGAAGCCAGGTGTGACAGACCCAACCAGGACAGGGGCTTTTGGAGGGGACTAGGGGCTAGCCTTCTGTCCACTGATTATAGCACATGGAGAGAGCAGATCATTCTCTAATGTTGGACAACAACATGATGAACTCTGTAATAATAATCTTGTACAGGTTAGTGGTCAGAGGAAATATGGTGGCCCTCATATGGACTGGGTTAGAGTAGCTCCTCTATTTGGGACAGAAATATTTATCAACAATCGCCATCAAGAACTCTATGAAGAAAAAAGCAAATACCTGAAAGACAGCATTTGTAATGGACTTTGTGTATTCAGGGGTGGGTTTGTTGCTGAGCTCCCTGAATTAATCCAAGCTTTGTCCTGGATGCCTGGATGTTGATTAGTTTAATGTTCATTAGATCACTGTTAGCTGTTGGCTGTACTGTTGTGATCAAGCGCTTAGCTAATCATTGTAGGATGTTTATCCTAATGTGTAATATTTTCTTTAATATTCATATGGGGGCACTGCCATTATTTCTGGATTGTATAAAACCTGTCTTTTCTGTTCAATAAAGAGTTCCTGTTTGGCATCTAAGCTAGTCTTGTCTATTCTTGGGTGCAATGCTCAGCTATAATACCTTGGTCCTGTGTCCCAGTGGTGAGGAAGCCTTTCTCTGACGGAGTCACCCAAGTGGGGTGACAGGCGTTCTGTCACAACAGGTATTTAGTTCCAGAAAACCCTATGATGCCAGTGATTTTTTATACCCCAAAAATTCATAAGAGAAAAAAATAAGCCACGTGGGAGACCAATCATTAGTGGCATAAACTTGGCAGTTAGCCGGGTTGGAGAATACATAGACTTCTGTCTCCAGGAAAAAGTAGTGAATCAACCAGCTTATCTTAACCACAAGCCTACAGGGCACTTATACTCCCTTCCTGCCCAGGCCAATTTCCAGCTTTCAGCGCTGTCGCACTTTGACAATTGCGCGGTCATGCAACACTGTACCCATATGACATTTTTATCATTTTTTTTCGACAGATAGAGCTTTATTTTGGTGGTATTTAATCACCTCTGGGTTTTTTATTTTTTCTTAAACAAACCAAAAACCACTGAAAATTTTGAAAAAAAAAATGTTTTTTCTTAGTTTTTGTTATAAAATTTTGTAAATAAGTGATTTTTCTCCTTCACTGATGTGCACTAATGAGGATGCAGTGATGGGCACTGATAGGCTGCACTGATGGACACTGATAGGTGGCACTGATGAGGAGGCACTGGTAGGTGGCACTGGTGGGCATTGACAGGCATCACTGATGGGCACTGAAAGGCAGCACTGATACATGGCACTGATATATGGCACTGATAGGCAGCACTGATAGGCGGCACTGACTGCCACTGTTAGGCGGCACTGACTGGCGGCACTGACATGCACTGACTGGCACTGATAGGCGGCACTGACTGGCAGTGATAGGCGGCACTGACTGGCACTGATAGGTGGCACTGATTGGCATTGATGGGTGACACTGAAAGGCAGCTCAGATGGGCACTGATATGTGGCATTGATGTACACTGCTAGGTACTGATATGTGGCATTGATGTGGCACTGATGGGCACTGGCAGGTGGCACTGATGAGCACTGACACAAGGCACTGATGGACACTGACAGGTGGCACTGCTGGGGCTACACTGATCATCAGTGCCCTGATGATCAGTGTACATGTCCCTTTCGCGGAAAGCCGATTACCGACTCTCCTCTCCAGCTGTCAGCGTGACAGCTTGAGAGGAGAGAAATGCCGATAACTGGCATTTCCATGTTTACATGTGATCAGCTGTGATTGGACACAGCTGATCACATGACCGAGCCCGACATCTTCGGCTCTTTCCGTGATTGGTGATCCGCTGTGTCCGAGGGACACAGAGCAGCACCGATCGCCGCGCTGTGCGCTCCCTGAGCCGCGCATGCGCGGTGAGAATGGGAAGATGTCATATGACGTCCTCCCAGAATGAGAGAACCACCTTGAGTCCGTCATATTACTATATGGTGAGCGGGAGGTGGTTAAAGATAGTGGTGATTTAATAAAAACAATAAAGGACATCAATTGGGAAGATAACTTTATCTTAGCCACAATAGATGTTAATAGCCTATACACTAGTATTAAGCAAGAAGATGGAGTGGATGTGGTGAAATGTGCAATGGCAAGGCGAACAAAAGCAGTTTGTTCTGGATTGCTTAGAACAACTTAGAACAACATGAAGAACAACTTTTTTTTGTATAACAATAAGTACTATGCCTGAACAAAGGGCGTAGCGATGGGAGCAAAATATACCCAGTGTTTTGCTAATTTAGTGATGGACAAATTTTAAGCAGAGGACATCTTTAAAAACAAGCCAAGGGAATTAGTCTTTTACTGACGCTTCATAGATGACATGATAGTTATGTGGAGAAGGGATGAAGAATTGCTTAAAAAGTTTGTAGGCGACCTGAACAATAATATATATGGCTTTTTAGACCTTGCAATATTTAGAAGGGGTAACAAAATTTGTACCCAAATGCTTGTAAAAGAAACAGGAACAGTTTCCTACCCACGAGTAGCTTCCACCACCCTAAATGGATAGGAAACATTCAGGTCAGATTATAAGAATGAAAATGAATTGTGACCTAGAGGAACATTTTTATGCATATAGTAATAAAATAATAGAGAATTTTGTTTAAAAAGGATGTAAAAAGAAGTCTTGGTGAAAATAAAAGAGGAGGTAAGAAACATGGACAGAAACCAAATGTTACAGAGTAAAAAACAAGTCAAAACAGTAAACCTATGGAATATGCATTAATCACACAATGCAATGGGGACTATAAAAGAATAGAAAGGATTATAAAATCTCACTGACCTTTTTTGAAAAAAGACTATACTTGCCAAAGAATTACCTTGTCACCCCAAATTTATATACAGAAAAGTAAAGTCATTAAGAACTATGATAGTAAAAAATGTGATAACCCCCCCCCACACACACACACACACACACACACACACACACACACACAACACACACTAGAGGGAGTAATAGAAGAAAAAAAACTCTATGGGACTTTATTCACAAACTAGGACATTACTCATGTACCCAAGAAAACTTTTTTTAAAAAAGGAATATCAGCTTTCTTACATAGTCATACTTGTAAGAGATACATAATTTTTTTTTTAAAAAAACATTCACTCTGACAAATATTACAAAAAAACGTTCTTCACAAAATGAGAGAATACCCAATAACAGGAGAAAGTTACCCCGACGTATTTCGATCATTCCACATTTTTTTTTCTTTTTCAGGGGCCATAGATATAGAGAGGATTTCTAATAAATACATAGAAATAAATCATAATATGCATATATAAACAATTAGTCAATAGAATTTATATCATTACCATAATAGTACTTACAAAAAATAAATATTAGTCAAAGCAATTGTAAGATGATGGCATCCAGGATGAAACCACATGAACCAAAGCCCTATCGGAATGGACAATCAAGGAGAATAAGAGTGGTCAGATGTCAATCCCATGGAACCAGCAGCAACTAGGAAACATCAGATCATCCTCTACACCTTCTACAAACATCGCAAAAAACAAAATGAATTACATACAAGGCTTATCTCATGGGCCTAAAAAGATGATACTTAAAGTGATCTAGAGAAAGTAAGACTAACCATGTTGAAGCATGGCCAATACGCATAATAGATTGAAATATTTTTCATTCAGTGGTGAAAATATCACTGGTCCCATAGGACCCCAACTCAGGGCAATTGATTAAAAGATTGAAATACTTTTTTCTTCAATGGTGAGAATGTCACAGATCCCATTGACCAGGAGCCCTAGATAGTTGAACTGCGGTGGAAATCAAAAGATTATGAATATACTGGCACAGACTGCCTTAGATAGTATTAAAAATCATCATTATTATAACCATGCAAAATACTTACTGGAATATAGAAATGTAGAAGTATCCTAGCCTCAGATTAATAAAAGTGTGGAGGCATAAAAAGCACAGCAGGCCATCAGACCATCAAACCAGGGATATCACAGGGACAGCTCCACATAAGTATCAGACCACCAGATCAGAAGCATCAATGATTGGGGGATATATCCACCTTAGGGGCTCGCATATCACGAGCCAGAGACAAATGGGTACTGATAGTGTAGTATTTATTTGAAGTTTCCAAAAAAATCCGTAATAAAAAAAACTCACATGAATGAAATGATATGTAAAATGGCCGCCGGCTTCCTGGTGGCCATGTGCGGCGTGACTTCACTCTGGTAGGCTCCCTCTGACGCATTTCGTGCACCAGCACGTTGTCAAAGGAATGTCAAAGTCCTTTGGCTCTTGATATGCGAGCCCCTAAGGTGGATTTCTCCCTCAATCTTTGATGCTTCTGATCTGGTGGTCTGATACTTACGTGGAGCTGTTCCTGTGATATCCCTGGTTTGATGGTCTGATGACAACGTGGAGCTGTCCTTGGGAGCAGAGTGTGCCCTTTGAGAGTGGTGTTACCCTGTGTTCCTTGAGTGTGCCTGATGACCCCGCAGTCCTAGCCCAGATCCTGATGACCACTGTTGGATGTTTACACACATGCGCATTTTTTGTGCACTTCTGGTGAGTGCATTCATATTACTGGCCATCACCAGCATGAAGCATGGATCACTTAATTTTCTGGCCTTGATTTTCATTGTATATGCATTGTATATGACGCACTACAGTCACTTTATTGATTTTATACTCTTTTAAAAGACGTCATTAAGAGACGATTTATCACGTTAACACTTTATAACATGCTTTATTAGCACTCACCGTGCATCATCTATAATTTTCAGTTTATCATTTTAAGAACACCAAACTACTGATAAACAAAGTGTAGGAAGCCTCAGCAAATATGTGCTGCATCCAGATTTTTATCAGTGGGAAAGGTAAAATCAAACCAAAAACACACTGACAAAATTAGATAAATACTTACCAGGGGGCGTGTCCAAGATGGCGACCGGATTGGCCACATAATCCGGAGCTCCGGGCCGACCTGTCTGCAATCCGCTGCCATCCAGGGAGCAGCGGACACGAAAAGCCAATCAGGGGTCCTGCGAGCCTGCAGGTTCACAGCGGAGGGGTGCGGAGTAAGTTTGGCCCCCCTCCGTAGCAACGAAGTGTCGTGGCCTGGTGCAGCCTACTGAAGCCGTGGTGCCGCCAGACTTGCACCTGTCCGGGAACAGGGTGAGTGCGGTCCCCACCCAGACCCAGGGATAAGGCCTAGTATAAAGGCCCTGAGGCTCCCCCATGCAATCCTGAGGCCCCCATCAGGCCTGCAGCCAAATCACCTCAGAAGACAGACACCTGGGGGATAGAGAGGTGCACCCCCCCCCCCCCGGAGGGACTTGTGGCTATCAATTCACGGGAGTCTGCCCACCCTTAATCCCTGTACCTGTCTGCCTCCTCACACACTCTGAGGCCTGCATCTGGACCCCTGTCCCATCTAGAGCCTGCTTTAACAAGTTTTTAATTGCTGGGGGGGCTCAACTTGAGCCCAGGGAAAATGACAACCTAATTACTAAAGCCCTAACACACGGAGGCGGAAATACGTAATATAAGGAAGGATAGACGCTGCTGAGATGGTGAAAGCAGATAGGAGAACCGCTACCCCACAATCAAGATCTCCTCGTCGGCCGAGCGGCCCTACCAGTCGCAGCATTCCAGAGCTATTCCGGTCTCAGACCCCAGAACATACTGAGCCCGACGCTCTTGCTTCTCCCCCACATCCGCTTCATGGAGTGTCTCACTCCCAGAGCAGGATTCTAGCCGCAGCACCCTCAGCCTGCCATCCTGAAACCTCCCCCCTCACTATAGGGGATTTGAAAGCAGTAGCATCAGATATAAAAGAGACCCTCTCTGCTGTAATTGCTGAGTTACATATCGACACGCAGGCAGTGACCCAAAGGCTTGAAGCGGTGGAGGATAAAGTTACCATACAGGAACTTGCTATCCATGATACGCGCAAACTGGTAGATACGCACACTATACATCTAAGAGAGCTTGACCGTCACATCGAGGACCTGGATAACAGGGGAAGACGACATAATTTTAAGGGTACGTGGGTGTCCCTGAAGCAATTGAATCCGGCCATCTCACCCAAACGCTCTTAGCCATTTTCAATGACCTTTTGGAAAGACCGCAAGAATCTCCAATTGAGTTCGAACGCCTCCATAGGGCTCTTCGTCCGAGAGGTAGAGACGCTGATCCCCCGAGAGATATAATTTGCTGATTAATCGACTTACGACTTAAGGAAGAAATATTGCGCAGAGTAAGAAATCAAAATCATGTGATATATAACGGAGCAGAAATCAAATTATTTCAGGATCTCTCCTATCTTACTTTGCAACGCAGAAAGGACTTACGCCCTATATTGGAGCTACTGCATTCGAGGGGTATTGCTTACAGCTGGAGATTCCTTTTTGGCCTCTCAACAACACACATGGGGCCCTCCTGAAATTCCCGGAAGATATTGCACCGTTTTGCAAAGCTCTTGATATTCCAATAATAGAAATACCAAATTGGTCAAGTGAATTCCACCTCCCATCTCAGACAGAGGAAGACCCAATG